CATCTGTTAACATATTTTCATTCAGTAAGTTAGAGTGATTTGTTTCTAGGTTTCATTGCTGTGATTGAACAGGAGTTTCAGAATCACCTCATCCACAAATTGAGTTCATTGTGTTCCTGTTAATTCAGTACATTCATGTGGTAGTTAAGGTTGTATGCCAACTTGGCTGAGCCTGGTTTTGAGTGCTGGGCAGCTGGATGTAGTTATTCTCCATGATGAGACTGGTAATCAACTCCATGGTGGAATCTGCTGTAAGAAGCTGAGTAGCTGCTGTAGGGATGTGGTCTGCTTCCAGTATATAAGAAGCTTTCGGATGACTCTCTAGCATTTTGGCATGCTTGGATCCTACATTTAACCAAGACCTCATTCAGCAGTCTGCCATGTTGCCTGCTGATCTTAGGACTGTTTCTGGACTAGAACTAGTGGCCTGCTGTGTTGTGTGATAACCTTGGGACTGTGCCATTTTACTTGTAGACTTTGGGTTTATCAGCCTCAGCTGCCAGCAGCTGCCTGAGTGAAGAAATGCCTCCAGCTCCAGTGGGCCAGGAACAAGAAGCAGAGCTGAAGCCCAAGTTGAGAGGCCTGTACCCAGCCCCTAGAGCTGGCACTTTGAACTCAGACTTCTAGCCTCCTAAACTGTAAGAGAATAAAAACCCTTGTTTGTTAAAGCTATACATTTGTGGTATGTCTGTTATAGCAGCATTAGAGAACCAAAACAATGCATTAGATGCTACACTTAAAACCAAAACCAAACCCACTGCCATCTAGTCGATTCCCACTCACTGACACCCTCATTGGGTTTCCAAGGTTGTAAATCTTTATGGAAGCAGAATGCCCCATCTTTCTTCCATGGAGTGGCTGGTGGGTTTAAACTACTAACCTTTTGGTTAGCAGCCAAATGCCTTAACCACTATACTACCTTAGCTATGAGTATACCAAGAGAAGCCTTGTCTTGAGAGGCAGCGTAGTTGAAAAGGAGGAGATGAGCAACTGGCCTACATCAACTAATGGCTGTAAAGCCATCTAAAAATGTTGAAGTCTGCCTTCTGTTTTCACATTTAAGGTGGACATTGTTTCATAAGTGATAATTTTCAAAGACAGAGAATGACCTTCTGGAACACCAACATTACACTTAGATTATCCTTTTAAAAAACTTCCTTTTGCAAGCAACAATGAGAGTGAATTCTGTACTGTTACACACCTTTCAAACTGAGACAAACATCTACCACAATTTTGGAAACTGGTGGGAACCCTCTTAAGAAGGTGAACAACTTCTACAGTTAGATAATCTTAATCACTTGTAAATAGGTTAATTAGTTTTCCTCTTGAAGATTATTGCTCCAGATTACCCAGTAAAACCTGCTGTCATAGGGTGGGTCATAGAAACTCATAGCGACCCTACAGGACAAAGTAGAACTGCCCCATAGGGTTTCGAAGGCTGGCCATCTTTACAAAAGCAGACTCCCTCATCTTTTTCCCTCAGAGCTGCTTGTGGGTTCAAAGTGCCAACGTTTTGGTTAGCAGACAAATGCTTTAACCACTATGCCACCAGATTTGGAGGTACATAATAGCATTTGAATGCTGTAACAATCTGATATGAAGTTTATCATGACAAAGTTACTAAAAACCAAAAAATAAATCACTGATGTTGAGTTGATTCCGACTCATAGCAACTCTATAGGACAGAATAGAACTTCCATATAGAGTTCAAAAGGCTGTAAATCTTCATAGAAGCAGAGTAACACATGTGTCTCCCACAGAGCAGCTACTGAGTCCAAACCACTGATCTTTTGGTTAACAGCCAAGCACTTTAACCATTGTGCCATCATGTCTCCTAAAAATTTATCAGGAACATAAAAAAAAAAAAAAACCTTAAGAGTAATTAATTTATCTTCTTGTATCTACTGTAGGACCTTGCTACTTAAAGTGCAGTCCTCAGACCAGATCCCTGGGTTCACCTGAGCTCTTGCCAGAAATAAAGAATGGTAGGCCCCACACAGACCTCATCTGGATTTCCATATGATTCACAGATAATTTGAAGAATATTAGACTTAAGGAGCACTGGCCTAGGGCTTAGCGTGGTTCCTGGGCCACCAGATGCATAATAAACGCTGCTTGAATTATATAATATATGGCTGTTTCTTTATGCAGTGCACAAAAGTACACAAAATTTTCCTCCAATCACAATTACGATTATCTTTCTCATTCTCCTCACTATTTTAAAATCATAGTGTATTTTATTGATTTTCCATTAACTGCTTTGTAGTGCGATTTAAAAGACATTCATTACAGGACTTGAGAATTCTACATGGATAAATGTAGACTGAAAAGCACTGGCCCTAATAAACATTTTGGTGACCTCCCCCTTTCCATAGCCTAGTCTTCAGAGTTCATTCCAACTTTAAGGAGCACTTGGTCCATGATGGGAAGATGCTATTCCAATTATCACGAGAATCTCCATTTCCTAGACTATTCTTTCACATCATTTACCACCATCTCAACAAGAACAAACAAACAAACAAAAACCCTTAGGCAGTGCCCTGAACATATTTACCTGTATTTTTAAAAAGAAAACTCTCTTTACAATACTGGATTTTTTAAAAGGAAGATATCTACAACAAGTCATTAATTAATTATATGGGAGCTCTGGTGGCATAATGCCTAGGGCATTTGACTGCTAACCAGAAGATGGAGATTCAAACCCACCAGCCACTCTGCAGAAGGAAGGTTGGGCAATATATTTGGTAAAAATACCTCCTTGGAAATTCGAGGAGGGGTTGCTATGAGTGGAATGAACTTGACTGACCATGAGTTTTGGGGTTTTGTTTTGTTTTGTTTTGAACTAATAATAGTGTTAAAGAGCTCTGGTGGGCTAGTGATAAGGCACTTCACTGGTCACTGGGAGGTCAGTGGTTCAAATCCACCAGCTGCTGGGGGCGGGGCAAGAAGACTATTGACGATCTACTTTTATAAAGATTTACAGCCTTGGAAGCCCAAATGGGGGTGGCTATGAGTCAGAAATGACTGGATGGCAGTGAGTTTGGTGTTTGGTAATAATAACATCTGACTCCTAGACTGAATTTGCAGACGGAGAGTTTGTGAATGGTTCTCTCCGTGGGACTCAGCTCCAAGTTGCTCGGGGAATATTCTGTATATCCAAGTTTGAACACAGGAAATTGGACTGCCTACTAAAGCAAGGGAAGCGAAACACGCATGCGTACGTCAGCAGGCCTGGACCAAGCGGGAGTCAATTGCACGCGGAACTGGTGTGCGTGGGCCGCTGTAGGGCGGGAGCGGCCGCCACAAGCCTAAAAGCTAGGTTCATTGGTAGGGGAGGCGTACGCTTGTGGGCTGTCTGAGCCTCTGGCATGGCTCACAGGCCAAAAAGGACTTTTCGGCAGCGCCGAGCCGATTCCAGCGACAGTGACAGCGGAAAGGAGTCGTCTGCAAAGCTCGGCTCACCGCGGGAGCCGGCAGCTCCAAGTCCTGAAGAGAAAGAGCTGCCTGGAGAGACAGTGAAAAGGCCGCTTCGGGGCCGCAGAGCTCAGGGCCAGATTTGGGCGAGTTCCCGGCGGGTCGCGGAAGCGGCCCCCAGAGCGGGCAGTGACACTCCTTACGAAGGCGACACCGGAAGCGGTAAGGGCGCCCGAGGTGATTTAGAGGGAGGGGCGGGAGGTGGTCACGGGTACCTGGCGCCTTCTTTGCAAGTACCTAATGTCTGCTCCGGTAGCATAGTGGCTAAGACGCTTGCCTGCTAACCAGGTGGCTGGCGGTTCAAACCCACCAGCCACTCCGCGG